CACCCACACTCACACACCCTGACCAGGGATCAAACCCAAAACCCAGATGGTTGCTCAGTGGTTAGAGCGCCAGCCCTTGCACCAAAGAGTTGCAGGTTGGATTCCCGGTCAAGGGCACATTCCTCGGTTGCAGGTTCCCCAGCAATCAATCGATGTGTCTCACATCAATGTTTCTCTCTCTCTCTCCCTCTCTCTCTCTCTCTCTCTCCTTCCTCCCCCTCTTCCAATCTCTCTAGAAATCAATGGGGGAAATATCATCAGGTGAGGATAAAAAAAAAAAAAAAAAAAAGGCTGAAACCTAGGTATGCGCCCTGAGTGGGAACAAAACCCACCACCCTTTGGTGTAAGGGATGACGCTCCAATCAATGGAGCCGCCCGGCCAGGGCTAATGTCACATGTGTAATGCACAAGTACCCTAAAAGAATCTGATTCAAATCCAACCCAGAGGGAGGTCATTTTTAAATACACACATCACACCGAAGAGTGTGCGCACGAACTGGATCCGTCTCCAAACACTGTGCGGGACCCAGGGCCCATCTGCCCTGTGGCAACAGGAGTTTCTGTGTAAGGAGCGATGCCTGGAGCAGGACTTCTGCAACTCTGGGGAGCAGTCTGGTGAGGAGACTGTTAAAATGCCGTTTGGGATTCTGATTCACGCTCCCAGGAAATGCTGATGGACCTTGTTCTGAGTGCCACAGTTGTGGATGATCCAGGCCCCTACCCAGTTCATGGTTTTTAAGCTGCGGCTTTTCCGGGCAGGTCAGCTTCACATGTAGGGGTGGTTGCCCACACCCAGGGACTCTTGGAGAAGGCCAGCAGCCACATCAAAACTCAGAAAGCGCCACAAAGAACAGGCAGCCCAGGCACAGAGGAGAAAAGGCTGGTCCCTTCCCTGTGTCACGGCAGAGCAGACACAGGAAGGCACCACAGGCAGCCCAACCCAGAGAAGCTGAAAGGGCACACAGACCCCAACGCCTGGAGGCAAAGGGGCTGTTTGGTTATGCTGCCATCTACCCAAAAGGTTCTTCGACCTTTTTAATAAACCTAGATACGGACCCATGATAAACTACTGTACTGAGTTCTAAAGGGAGAGCCTTCAGTAAATTAAAACCCAACGCCCCAATGGGACAAAAATATGGAAGGTGACCTAGGAGTTCAGAAGTTCATCTGGCATCCACCTTCTGGCAGGAGAGAGAGGACAGTTTGGGGGATGAAGTGGAGGTGGAGCTGGGCCAAAGAGAGATGGGGAGCCCTAGCTGGTTTGGCTCAGTGGCTAGAGTGTCAGCCTGTGGACTAAAGGGTCCAGGGTTCTATTCCAGTCAGGGGCACATGCCCGTGTTCTGGGCTCGATTCCCAGTGGGTGGCATGCAGGAGGATCAGTGATTCTCTCTCATCAGTGATATGTATCTCTCTCCCTTCCTCTCTGAAATCAATAGAAATATTTATTTATTTATTTATTTTTATTTTTATTTTTTTGAGAGAGAGAGAGAGAGAGAGATGGGGAGGTAGTCCATGACTGGAGACTGGACAGAGAGGAATAAAGGTCTGAGAAGCCATGTGTGTTTTCGGCATCAGGAATGAGACTAGTTGAGGTGGAATGGAGGGCTCCCGCTGGTGGGAAACGTTTATTGTTGGGGTGACTGTAGTGCTGGAAAGGTATGTTGGAAGCACACCATGGGAGAGGAAGAACAAGAAAGGAGCCCTTTATAGACTCATTACATTTAATCCTCAGCACAACTCCAGGAAGTAAGCACCTTTACAGAAGAGGCCAACTGTGAGGTCAAGAAATCTGCCCAGGGACACAGAGCCTGTCGGAGTTGGAGGTGCTGTTTTGCCAAACATTTCATCTCCACGGCCTGAGCTCTCGCCACCACTCAACCCTGCTCTGCCACCACTCAACCCTGCTCTGCCACCACTCAATCCTGCTCCGGGCCCCAGGAGCTTGACTAGATCCTCTGGCGAGTGAGGTGCAGGGATTACCAGGGCCCTCCCACTTGCACTTCCCAACATCTGAGAAAGCCCATCACTGATAACAGCAGCTCCTAAGCCTGAATTACAGGCTGCAGAGCCCCGAGGAGTCTGCAGAACAGCCTCTCTCAGGACGTGACAATCTCATTTCCCCACAGAAACAAGAGCCCAGAGGAAAGAATGGAGGGGGTAGGGGGGTAGGGGTAAAGGTGGGAACAGGGATGTGGAATAACCACCACTGACCAAGCAGTTGGAGCTCAAAATCCCAGGTTGCAAATGTTTAGCCCTCTCCCCTTCCTCCTCCTCCACCATATTAATCACAACAGGGATCTCAAAGTTTGGAAAATTACTAGGCCATTTACAGCATAATTATCCAAACTTCAAAATGGCCTAATCCACAAACCTTATCCCAACCTAGTCCCTTACTCCAACCTTATTAACAGCGGGGTCTCCCTACAACTCCAGCCAATTACACAAACGACGAGATGGGAAAATCTACCGTAATCTGTTTATAAATCATTGCCCCCTCAAGTCACGCTGGCCGGGGTTCCACTGTAAGACAGCAGGCACCTAAGCCTTGACTAGAACTGTTTCCAACACATGGACAGGTTCCACACCAGGGCACATTTGGTGGAACTGATTTAAGGCTCTCATTAAAATGTTCCTTTGTGGAGCACAAGACATCCCCCCGCCCCCAGCGGAGATTCCAGACCTCCAGTCCCAAGCCCTCCGCCTGCCCTAACTTCCCACGAAACACCAGTCACCCGGCTAACATCCGTTACCATCCCAGTCCTCTTCTCACGGAAGGGATGGGAAGGAATTTAGCATTTGTTGTTGCACAAGAGCCCCGTCTCCACCAGAATCTCCCCTTGACTCCAGACCTCGAAAAAGGCAGCCGTAGCAGGCAAACCCACCCGCCCAAACCCCAAGCAGCTGGCTGACCTAGGAAGCTGCTCACCCATATGGCTGGGCCCCCCATCCTGGCTGAGCAAAAAAAAAAAAAAAAATTCCATACTTCCTCTGGGAGCAGATGTGGGCTCTGCCAGGAGCAATAACCACCCCACACATCACAGGGAACACAGGGCAGCTCCAGAAACACCTCCTACAAATCCCCGGAGCCCGCTCACCCCGGGGTCCTGAGCTACAATGACCTCTCCTTTTACAACCAGGGCTGGGGGAGAGGTGGGTTCCATCAGCACCAAAACCCATCCGGAGCTGGGGGGCCAGGGAGACGTCGGAAAAGACAATTCTCCACCCCCACCCCCGCCCTCAGGCCACACTCTTCAAAGGAAGACAGTGATGAGCTGGGACCAGGTCCCGGAGCAGAGTTCCCCAGAGAGGGCTGCTGCCACAATCATCCTCAAAGGTTTTTTTTGGTGTTTTGTTTTGTTTTTTTAAGGGAGAAAGATGGGGGCATATTTCCAACCCAGGCTGTGCGTGTAGTTTGGTGCTTTCCTGTAAAGCGCTTCAATACCTCAGTGTAACTCTCAGGTGTGACCCAGACAGGGAATAAAGGTGGGAAGGGGGTGAAGGGGTAAGGGATTGAAGGGGTGAGGGGTGAAGGGGTAGGGGGTGAGGGGGTGAGGGATAGGGAGTGAGGGGGTGAAGGGATAAGGGGGTGAGGGGGTAAGGGATAGGGGGTGAGGGGGTGAGGGGTAAAGGGGTGAGGAATAAGGGGTAAGGGGGTGAGGGATGAGGGATGAGGGGTGAAGGGGTGAGGGGGTGAGGGGGTGAGGGATAGGGGGTGAGGGGGTGAAGAGGTAAGGGGGTGAGGGGGTAAGGGGGTGAAGGGATGAGGGGTGAAGGGGTGAGGGGGTGAAGGGGTAAGGGGGTGAAGAGGTAAGGGGGTGAGGGGGTAAGGGGGTGAAGGGGTGAGGGGTGAAGGGGTAAAGGGGTGAGGAATAAGGGGTAAGGGGGTGAGGGATGAGGGATGAGGGGTGAAGGGGTGAGGGGGTGAGGGATAGGGGGTGAAGGGGTGAAGGGGTAAGGGGGTAAGGGGGTGAATGGGTGAGGGGTGAAGGGGTAAGGGGGTGAGGGATAGGGGGTGAAGGGGTAAGGGGGTAAGGGGGTGAATGGGTGAGGGGTGAAGGGGTAAAGGGGTGAGGAATAGGGGTAAGGGGGTGAGGGATGAGGGATGAGGGGTGAAGGGGTGAGGGGGTGAGGGAGTAAAGGGGTGAGGGGTGGGATCCGGGTCCAGGAGAGAGGGCCACGCCCTCACCGAAACGCCGAGGCTGGAAGAAAAGACAGAAGGAACTCCTGTCGCCCGGCCGGCCTGTGGAAAGCGAGATCCGCTCTCCCCGGCGAGGCGGCGCGGGATGGGAATCCAGGAAGGAGCCGCACCAACCCCGTCCGCACCTTTGCAGGCCGGCCATGCCCGATTTTGGCAGCGGCCTTCCCACATTAGTCACCGCGACAGCCCGGGACTCCGCTCCCCACTCAGCCCCGGCCGGGAGCGGGCTCGGGCCCAGGAGTCGGAGGAGATGGGGCGGCTCCGGACTCTCCCCTCCGCCGCCCCCGCCAGCGGGGCCATCGGGGTCCCGGCCCGGCCCGGCCCGGCGGAGGGGAGCGGAGCGGCGGGCCGGCCGCGGTAACAAAGCTCCAGCGCGCCCGCCGCGGGTCGCCCGCCTCTGGCCCGGGCCGGCCTCCCTCACCTGGGCGAGCCCGCCAGGGGCACCCGCCCGCCGCCGCCGGACCCCTCCCTGACCCCCGCTAAGTGGGGGCAGGCGTTTTCCTCCCGAAAATGAACTCCCCACCGGGGCCCGGGCGCCGGCACCTCCCGAGTAGAACTCCCCGCTGGGGCCGGGGAACTCTGGAGGCTGTGGAGACGCGACCTCGTGGACGTGGGTGGCGGAGGGTCCCCACCGGCCGAGCCCGCTCGGGGCTTGGCCGCCTCCCAGCCGCCGGCACCCCGCGCCCCGGCCGGCCTCTCCGGGGTGTCTTCCCGCTCCAGCCGCCCGACCCACTCCCCGGGCGGCCCCTGGTCCCGGCCGGGCTCCCGCGCTCCGAGCCCCTCCCCAGTCGCCGGGACTCACCTCCCAGCAGCGGCAGCAGCAGGACGCTGAGCAGCGGCAGCCGGCGGCGGCTGCTCGGGGTTCCCCGCGCGGCTCCCATCACGGGGGCTCGGGGAAGGCACGGGCGGGCGGACGCGCGGACTGCGCCCCGCGGCGGGCCCCGGAGGCCGAGCGCACCTCAGCGCGGGCGCCGAGGCAGCAGCCGGAGCCGAGGCGTCCCCACCGGAGCAGCGCGCGCCCGGTCCTCCGAGTCCTCGCGCGTCTCCGCCGCCGCCGCCGCCGCAGCCGCAGCCAAGCCCCGCCCCTCGACGCCCCCTCCCCGCCGCCGCCGCCAAGCCCCGCCCCTCGACGCCCCCTCCCCGTCGTGGCGGGGAGGAGCTCGCCGTTGGGGGAGGGGTCTGGAGCTGGAGCCCGGGCAGAGGGAGGCCCGGAGAGCGCCCTGGACCTGCGCGAGGTAGGGTGAGATAGGCTCTGCCTACCGCCTACCGTGCAAGGATGGGGGGAGGAAACCACAGTAACCTTTGATTCCGTGACCCCTGGGGAGAATGGTCAGTTCTGGGCCCTCTAGGGGACCCTGACCAGCAACTCCCCGAGTCTCCGGGTGGGAGGGAACTTTGCCACCTGAAATCTTTAGGGAGACCTAGAACAGAAGGCTATCCGTGGTGTCCCCCTAGCAAGGTGACCTGGAGGGAGATGCGGTGCAGCCCCAGGAGAAAGGTAGCCTGGAGAAATGAGGGACCGGCCACTGGCCGGGGTCTGGTCTGGCTCTGGACCAACACTGAGCCCAAAGGTAGAAATTGGCTGGACTCAGAGCGCCAGGCTGAAGGCTGTTAAACTGACAAATTCATCCCAAGTCCATCTCCAGGCAGTCTGGGCTGTGTCAGGGCATGGCCAAGTCTCCAGCTGTGGAGAGACCCAGCGCAGCCCTTGTTCCAGGCACCCCCACCCCAGCGCCACCACCCCCACATTCTTTCTTTGTTGTGAAAGCAGCAAGGGGTGTAGGAGGCGGGTCAGGAGGAGTCAAGCTTTAGAAGATGGGCCCCAGCTGCTGTTCAGGCCTCCAGGATATGCTGAGAGGGGATGGATAGTGAGCGCCTCCTTCCCCTCTGGCTCCGGAGGGCCCCCCAGACCTGCTTAGACCTCCCTTCCCCCAAGCAGCTGGGAGGAGGCGGGGCAGCCACAGAGGGCCTCACAGCCCGGGAGCAGTGGCGCCAGGACTCCAGGGTCCTGCCACATGGCCACCACATGTCCCTGACAACCCAGTCCACAGCACCTTCTCCTTGGGTTGTGGGCCTCCTCCCCCATCCCCCAGATGCCTTCCTGCAGGCCTGCTGGAGAGGATACAGACAGGGGAAGGAAGAGTGGAGAGGTCCAAGAATCAACACTCCTCCCGTTGCCCCATCCATCACTGCCCCTCACCCTTCCCTTCCGTGAAGGGCCCCCACACAACCCTTGCTTCCCACCCTCTTCAATCAGGACTCGAGTGGCAGAATAGTTACCTGATTCTTTTATTTAAGAAACGTGAAATACATGGACCTGAAGTGAGGCAGCCGAGGGAACGAGAGAGGCCGGGGCCAGGTATCTTGGTTGGCCAGCCCCAAACCTCTGACAGAAAAGCCCGCAGCAGGCTGCACCTCGGAGGTGCAAACCTGCTCCTTACCCGCCCTGGGAGCCTCAGAGCTAGCTACTCCAGAGGACCACGGGGTGGGGAGAGGATGTGTGAAGGTCCTTGAAAAGGATTCCTGAGGAGGGAGCTGAGACCCTAAGGGCAGTAGCAGTCTTCTGGTTAACTGCACCCCATGACTGTCCCACCGAGGGGCTGGAAGAGCCTGGAGCAAGAGGGAATGCTGTGAGGGCTGTGGGGGAACCCAGGAGACCTGGGGGGCGGGTTGAATGTCAACTTCTTGAAGAGAGGTCCATAGTGCTGGCACTGAGGCCTCGGGAGACCTGAAACAGACAACATAGGCCATCAGCCCAGGAACCTCGGCCTCTGGAAGACTGTCCCCTGGAGTCTGTCCATCTCAGGGCTGCAGTCTTATCTCCTGACCTACAATGGAACCTCAACCCCAAGATCTGAGGCTTTGCTAGGATTTTCCAGAAGGCCACAGTCTGGTGGAGAAAAGGCCGGGAAGAGCTACATGAATATTGGCATATACTTCGAATGTGTTGATGCAAGTGGTCATTTCTGTTAAAATACCATTACTGTTTTTTCAAAAGGAGATGATTGAATACTTCTTTTCTTTTTCCCTTTTTCTTGACCACTGAGTCCCCAGGGTAAGGTGTATGGTGGTTACAGGAGGAAGAGCAATTAGAATCCCCAAGTCTTTCTTGAATTATTACTAATTCTATAGTACCAGTTTAGAGAACACCGACTCCTATTACCCCCTGATTAATTTAACTGCTACTATCTCTGACCTGAAACTGTCCCTTCCTAGTCACCCCCATCACCACCAAGCCGTCCGCCTGATTCTGTCCGCCAGGTCCAGTTCTGTAGCCAGAGTCTTCATCCCAGACTACTCTCTCTCCCTAACCCCCCCTGGTTTTGCTCTAAGGCTGTCTTTTCTTTCTCACCCACCAATAAGCTCACCAGCACTGCTCTCACCTGGAGGGGTGCTGCGTTGGGATGGTTCAGATAGTTTAAGGAGGCTGCCCGCTTCATGTTGCTGCTACAATGGAAAAGAAAGAATTGAGACTTCTCTTCCTTTTTTTTTTTTTTTTTTGTTAGTCCTCACTCAAGGATATTTTTTCCATTGATTTTTTTTCTTTAAAGGGAGTAGTAGGGAGAAAAAGAGGGAGGGAAGAAAGGAGGAAGAGAAGGGGGGGGAGAGAGAGAGAAAAAGAGAGAGGGGAACATGAATATGAGAGGCACATCAATTTGTTGCCTCCTCCACACGCCTGACCCAACCTGGGGTCCGGAATGGAACCTGCAGTCAGAGTATGTACCCTTGACCAGGAATCCAGCCCTCAATCCTTCAGTGCTCAGGCTGACACTCTAACCACTGAGCAACACTGGCCAGAGCTCTTCCCCTTGAGTGTTACTAAGGCTGTGGGCCTACCACACAAAAGCAAGGCACTGCCTCGTCCCCACCCCACCTCCCCGCACCTCACCCCCACACACTGTCTCATCTGCATCGGTGAATAGCATCTTCTCGGGTGTCTTTTCCCCTACTGGGGCGTCCATTTTTCCTGAACTCTCTCCATGGACATCCCACTGACCTGCTCTACGATTCTCTCCGAGACACTTCTCCGGAGGTGAGAGGCCAAGAGGCTTTGGAGGACGGAGCTCACTGCCTGCTTTGCCATAACTCAGTCTCATTGCGTACCTGGAGGACCGAGGTTCAGTTCCCTGGAGCTTCTTCACCAGGAGCTCACTGCTTCTACGAAGCATGTCCCGGATCCTGCCGAGAGAGCCACTCCTCTGCAGGGTCCCACTGCCATCCTGGGGGAGAGGGATGGTGAACAGAAGCTAAGGAGACCCAATGCAGACTGGCTTCTGAGTCTACTCCTGCCATTTATTCTGCACACGCACCCCCCCCCCCAAAAGCCCAAGGACTGAAAACCAGAGCCCGGTCACTGGCTGGCTGGTAGAGATTCCTCTGAGAGAGAGAGTCTTGACTGAACTGGAGTGGTGACAAGTTCTCATATCCTTCATGGACAGGCTCAGAGCCTCTCACTACCACCACAGGCGGGCGCAGGAGAGATCCAGGGGCAATTTTCAGACTTACCCCTGACCACTCCACAGCCACAGACGCATCTTCACCTCCCTCGTATTTCACGCTGCTCCCAGGACCCTCCTGGGAGGTCCTTCCACTGTCACCCTCCCCAAGCAGCTCAGCCACCTTGGTCTGGCTGATAGGGTCAGTGCCCTGGAAGAAAAAGGAAGAAGCTGGGACTTGCCCCTCCCTTCTCCTCAGAATGGGTCTTTCAAACCTTTTCTCACCATCAGCCACTGGAAGGAAGACACTTTTCCTTGTGATGTCCCAGTACACAAACTGGAACAATACCCGCCTTTTCTATGTGCAATGCATTCCTTCATACAGATGCATACATATGTTTAGCCATGGCACATACTGAACTTATTTCTTGACCTACTAATGAGCTAACACCCACAATTGGAGAAACTCTTGACATTGGGCTCCCCTCATCCCCACCATCCATGCACGCCCCCCTTTAACAGAGTCTTCAAATTGTAGAAGGGCAGGGCTTCCCTTTTAATAATCCCTTTTAGTGAAGTGAACCTTGAACTTGGAGTTCTGACCACAAAGGGCATGTTGGGGTAAGAACACACTTAAAACCACCACAACCACAAGGGTTATCACCTTCCGGTCTAGGTCTCCCTCCTCGGTTCCTCCTCTTATTCTTCGAGAGACTCCGAAGAAGGCTCATTGGTCCTGTCCCCAGGGCACTGCCTCAGGACACCCTTCCCCTCCCAGTCTCTGACCTGTTTCCGGGAACGCAGAGCACATTCCTCCAGGGTCTCGGCTGCCTCCAGCTTTCCCTGGCGCCTGTACAGAGCTCCTAGGTTTCTCAGAGTGGTGTTCACTGTGGGGCTGTGGGGGGTGAGACCAGAGAAGGAAGTGAGGATGGGCTTTAAGAAACAGGAGTCCTAGGCGGTTTGGCTCAATGGATAGAACATCGGCCTAAAGACTGAAGGGCCACGGGTTCGAGGGAAGACCTGCCCTTCCACAATCTGCAGGCTCCTTTGGGGCCCAGGCCCTGGTTGGAGCTCGTGCAGGAGACAACCAACTGAAGTATTTCTCTCACGTGAATATTTCTCTCTGTCTTTCCCTCTCTCTTCCACCTCTCTAAAAAGTCAATTGAAACTCCGCGTTGTATAGTGATGCTTCAGATGTTTTGTGGTTTTGGCATAAGGACACAGTCTAAGCAACTGACTTTTCCCTCCCTCCCCTTCTGAAGAGCCTTCCCCCCAGACCCACCCTCTAACCCACACTAGTTCGTTCAATGATGAGGCTGAGCAGTGAAGAGCATTTCCATTCAGATAAGGTGCCTCTTAGGCTACTGGAAAGGAACCTGCCTACCCAGCCTCTTGATTTCTGCAGACACTTTCTAATTGTGTTCCTTTCTGCTGCCACAATCAGC